ATTAAGACTAAAAATAAAAATAAATTTAAAAAAACCAAAATAAAAATAAAAATAAAAAATGAAAATATAAAATAAAAATACAAAATAAAATTAAAAAATAAAAAAAATTAAAAATAAAAAGTAAAACACAGAATAAAAATAAAAAAATTAAGACTAAAAATAAAAATAAATTAAAAAAACCAAAATAAAAATAAAATAAAAAATGAAAATATAAAATAAAAATACAAAATAAAATTAAAAAATAAAAAAAATTCAGAATAAAAATAAAAAATAAAATAAAAATACAGAGTAAAAATACAGAATAAAAATAAAAACCCAAAGTAAAAATTTAAAAAAAATTAAAAAGAAAATTAAAATAAAAATTAAAATAAAAATACAAGATAAAAATAAAAAATGAAAATAAAAAATAAAAATTTAAAAAAATAAAAAATAAAATATAAAATAAAAACACAAAATAAAATTAAAAAATAAAAATGAAAGTAAAAAACTAAAAATAAAAATACAGGATAAAAATACAGGATAAAAATACAGAATAAAAATAAAAAATGAAAATAAAAAATAAAAATTAAAAAATAATAAAAAATAAAATATAGAATAAAAACACAAAATAAAATTAAAAAATAAAAATGAAAGTAAAAAATTAAAAATAAAAATACAGGATAAAAATACAGAATAAAAATGACAAATTAAAATAAAAAATAAAAATTTAAGAATAAAAAAATAAAAATATAGAATAAAAATGCAGAATAAAAATACAGAATAAAAATTAAAAATAAAAATAAAAATAAAAAATTAAAATGAAAATAAAAAATAAAAATCCAAAATAAAAATAAAAAATAAAAATGAAAGGTAAAAAATAAAATAAAAATGCAAAATAAAAATACAGAATAAAAAGAAAAATAAAAAATGAAAATTAAAAAAAAAATTACAAAATTAAAAAATGAAAATAAAAAATAAAAAAAAAACCCCAAAAGGGTGTGGAGGAGGCGAGCGGGGACGGCGGCAGACGAACCATCCCCACATGTAACCCTGGTGTCCATCCCACCTTTCTGAGGCTGCCTTTCCCCTGCTCCCCAGGCCTCCAGCACGCCCAGGATGAGCTCTGACGGCGGCAGCAAGCCCCTCAAGGTGGGCTCCCGCGTGGAGGTCATCGGCAAGGGCCACCGCGGCACCGTGGCCTACGTGGGGGCCACCCTGTTCGCCACCGGCAAATGGGTCGGGGTCATCCTGGACGAGGCCAAGGGCAAGAACGATGGCACGGTGCAGGGAAGGAAATATTTCACCTGCGAGGAGAACCACGGCATCTTCGTGAGGCAGTCCCAGGTGGGTGGGATCCTGGGATCCTGGGATCCTTACATCCAGGGAAACGGCCCTGGGGGGGTTGGGAATATCCCAGGTGGGAGGGAACAGCTCCAAAGTGGGGTGGAATCTGAGGCTCCGCACACTGTGTGGGGTGGTGGGATGAGAACAGCCTGGTGAATTCCCAGCTGTTCCATTCTGCTTCCCAGTGAAGTGCCCGGCCCGGCGTGTCCCACCCGCGGCAGGCGGAGTTTGGGATCGATCCCGGGTGTTTAACCAGAAGCAGATCCAGGGAACTTTAATTAAATGGTGTTTTCCTGGGAGGAGGTAAAACACACGGTGATGTGCTGCAGCAGGAGCCAGGAGCTCCCTCCAGACCAAACATCCTCCAGCTCAATTCCCTGTGTCACCTTCCAAGGGCAGAGAGGTGACACCGGAGCCCCCCAGCCCCGTGTCCCAGCCGGCTCCTGTCCCCTCCCGGGCTGGTTTGTGTCCCACCCCCCGGCCTCTCGCTGCCAGGACCTTGGGATTGGGTGACAGAGGGAAGCTGAGCACAAAACAAGAGCATTTGGGTCCTGGGGTCCATCCCAGCCTCCGCTGTCCCATCCTTTGGAAGGGTCTTTGGATCGTGCAGAGTCAGAGGCTGCAGCAGGGGCTCATCCAGGAGAGATTCCAGGAGTCACTGAGGTTGGAAAACACCTTTTACAGGACTCCAGCCATTCACTGCTTCAGTCCCTTTGTCACCATCTCGAGGCAGGACAAGGGAAAACGATCCCTGTCCTTTAAATAACGGGATAAACACAGAGAGCCGAGCCCACCAGGGCTGGAGGCAAACTCCCCAGGAAGCTTTTCATGTTTTTATCCAGCCCAAACACTGTTGGTGCGTAGGAATTGCTGGATGGAGCTCTGCTGCTCTCCTGGGATCACCATGGAGATTTCCCAAATGTAATTCCACCACACTTCCAGTTCCCCCCACATTAAAACCGGACACGCAGGCCCGGCTGCTTTGTCTGTCTCTCTCGGCCTCTCCTGCCGGCTGGGAGAGGCTTTGAGGGGTTTACAGGGAAAAAGTTCCTCCTGCAGGACCAGGAGGGGCCTCAAAGCCCACCCAGTGCCACCCCCTGACAGTCAGGGACACCTTCCACTGTCCCAGGCTGCTCCAAGCCCCATCAATCCAACCTGCCAGGGATCCAGCGGCAGCCACGGCAAATCTGGGAATTCCAGCCCAGCCAGGAATTCCTTCCCAAAATCCCTCCCCAGTCTCCCCTTTCCCAGCGGGGAAATTTCCCATTCCCGTTTTTTGCCAGCCTGTGTGCCGGGTGTGCAGCAAGCGATGCTCAGCCCCCGCCCCGAACTGCAGAGCTGGGGAGCGGATGGGGACACGCCTGGAGCAGAGCCGGGGAGCAGGAGGGATAAACAGCCCCCAGACGCCCCAAATCCCCTGTCCCGGAGCAAAGCCGTGGGTGCAGGGCTGTGCCAGCAGCTCCAGAGCCCATCCCGAGCCCCCCGGGGGCGCTGGGAGGGTCCCCGGTGTCCCCCAGGGCACAGAGGGGGGACCCCAGCGCTGGCAGGGAGGGGCAGAGGGTGCCGGGCACGAGGCTCTGGATGGGGCTGGATCCATCCCTGGAATCCCCCATCCCTGGAAGTGTCCTGGCTTAGCTGGGACGGGACTTGGAGCAACCTGGGACAGCGGGAGGTGTCCTTGCCCATGGCAGGGGTGGCACTGCGTAGGGTTTAAGGTCCTTTCCCACCCAAGCCATTCCAGAATTCCCTGATTCTCCCAGGGCTGGCAATTCCTAGCGTGGCTGTTCCTTTTCTGGCCCTGATTTTGGCATCACCTGGAGCTGCCTTTCAGCTCCTGCCTGGCTGAGGAGCTCCATGTGCCCAGCCTGTGGTGGCACTTCCCAGTGCCACTGCGGATCCAGCTCTGTCCCTGTCCCCAGCCTCTGGAATTCCCTCCCAGGCTGGAGGAAACCCCCAGACCACTCGGAATTCCCACCCTGCCTGGCTGCAGGTGTCATGATTTCCTTGGCATCATCTTTTCCTTCATCTCCTTGTGGCTTTTAATTTGATTTTCATCATTCCTGGTGTTGGGAATCTTCCCAGAATGGAATTCCTGTCTGACAGCTTCCCAGGTTATTTTGATTTTTAAGCTGAACTCGCAGGTGGGAGGTGGTGATGTCTCAGGCAAATTCCTGCAGGAACAATTTGGGAGGTGCTGATCTGAGGCACAAGGATGGCTCTTTCTCATCCCTCCCAACCTCATTTCCCATGTTGATCCAGCAAAATCGCATCCAGAAATAGCTCACAGAGAGAAATCCCTGAATCTGGTACGGATGTTCCGGGCTGTCAGATCCAGAGCTTTGACTTTCCTCGTTGTCTGTGTGAATATTCCGTGTTCCCAGTGGGAATAACGAGCGTGTGGCCGTGTTCTGGCAAAGCCAGAATGATGGAATTCAAAAATCTGTGCCAAAACCATGGGATCTGCTCCGCTGGGATCTGTTCCCTGTGGAACAGTTCGGGAATTTTGGGTAAGGATGGTTGTTGTGTTTTTTCCAGATCCAGGTGTTTGAGGATGGAGCAGACACAACATCCCCAGAAACTCCAGAATCTGCTGCCATGAAGGTCCCCAAGAGAGGTATGGCCCTGAAAAAAACCCAAAACTGGGAAATCCTTCCCAGAGAGGTGGAAATCCCTGGAAAGGTGGGAAATCCTTCCCAGAGAAATGGGAAATCCTTCCCAGAGAGGATGGAAATCCCTGGAAAGGTGGGAAATCCTTCCCAGAGAGGATGGAAATCCCTGGAAAGGTGGGAAATCCTTCCCAGAGAGGAGGAAATCCTTCCCAGAGAAATGGGAAATCCTTCCCAGAGAGGATGGAAATCCCTGGAAAGGTGGGAAATCTTTCCCAGAGAGGAGGAAATCCTTCCCAGAGAGGATGGAAATCCCTGGAAAGGTGGGAAATCTTTCCCAGAGAGGAGGAAATCCTTCCCAGAGAGGAGGAAATCCTTCCCAGAGAGGTGGGAAATCCTTCCCAGAGAAGATGGCAATCCCTGGAAAGGTGGGAAATCCTTCCCAGAGAAATGGGAAATCCTTCCCAGAGAGGAAGAAATCCCTAGAAAGGTGGGAAATCCTTCCCAGAGAGGAGGAAATCCTTAGTGGAGGGGATGGGAAATTATTCCTGAAGGGGATAGTGAATCCCTCCTGGAGGGGTGGGAATCCTTCCTGAAGAAATGGGAAATTTCTCTTGGGGGAGTGGGAATCCTTTCTGGAGAGATGGGAAATCCTTCCCAGGTGAGATGGGAAATCCTTCCTGCAGAGACAGGAAATTTCTCCTGGAGAGCTTGGGAATCCTTCCTGGAAAGGTGGGAAATCCTTCCCGTGAGGAAGGGGGGGAAAATCACGGAATATTTCCCAGTGCAGACCCACTGAACCTCTCTGAGCCTGTGGAATTGGATTATCCCAGTGGAATTGGATTATCCCCGTCTCCAGCCCCATTCCCAGCCGGGAGCAGGGATCCCTTCCCCATTCCCCACATCCTTGGCTGTGGTCCCAGCCAGCCTTCCCTCCCTCCCTCCCTCCCTCTCTCCCTCGGAGCTCTGTTTTGTTGGGAATGTTTTCCCCAGGCTCTGCGGGATCCCGGGAGCTGCCGGAAGGGGCTCTGCCAGTTTCCTGCCTTGGCTGCTGCTCCCCGGCTCCGCGCGCCAAGCGCCGTGCGGGAAGCCTTTGTGGGATCGGGGTTTGGGATCAGGGCGCTGGCTGGCGGTTGTGGGTGGGATTTCTCCTCTCCCGGTGAAAATCAGCCGGGGAAAAAACGGGATGGATTTTTCCTCGCTCTCTGATTTGGCTGCTGCAGTCGGCATCAAATGGTGGAATAAATTGGAATTATTTAGGCTGGAAAAGCCCTTGGACAGCCCCGAATTTCCCAGCTGTGCCCAGGCCAGCGGTGTCCGTGTCCCCAAGTGCCACAGGGCGTGAAATCCCCCCAGGGATGGGGACCCCACCCCTGCCAGGGCTGGACAGCCCTTTCCAAAACGGAATTCTCCCAAAATCCAAGCTGGCACAGCTCGAGGCCGTTCCCTGGGAGCAGATCCCAGCTCCCACCTGGCTCCAAGAATCCAGGGACTTTTCCAGAGCCAGAAGTTCCCCCCCTGAGCCTCATTTTCTCCAGGCTGAGCCCCTTCCCCAGCTCCCTCAGCCTCTCCTGGAGCTCCAGACCCTTCCCTGGATGGAGGCTGGGTTGGGACAGACGGACACCGGTCCCAGCCCCTCCATCCCGGGGCTGCAGGTGGGGCTGCAGGTGGGGTGTGGGATGATGCTGTCAGGGATGCAGGGCTGGGATGTGGCTGCCTGCCAAGGGTTTCCATGGAAACGGCAGCTGCTGCAGCAGCACTGCAGTGGCGGGAGCAGGGATGGCTCTGTGTGGGAGGGACACAGGGAAAAGGGGAGGAATTCCTCCCTGGAAAGGTGGAGAAGCTCTGGCACAGGTTGCCCAGAGAAGCTGTGGCTGCCCCTGGATCCTTGGAATGACACCTGGGACAGTGGAAGTTGTCCCTGCCCACGGCACGAGGCAGGGTTGGTGGGATTTAAGGTCCCTTCCCAAACCATTCCATGATTCTGTGTCCCCAAGTGCCACACACACCCCCCCAGTGACTCTGCCACTCCCTGAGCAGCCTGTGCCAGAGCCTCAGGAATCCACAAAATCCAGGGATTCAGCCCAAGGAGAGCAGTGGAACCGCCCCAGTTCCCAGGTGTATCCAAGCGTTCGTGTTCCTCAGCCAGCAGCTCCCATAAGGAATTCCCTTTTGCCAAATCCCTGCTGGATCCTGACTCTGCTTCACTCCCACTTCCCAAAATTCTCCTGTCCCCCTGCCGGGTGTCCTCTGGCTGCAGGGACACTGGGATGGGGACAGGGGTGTCCCTCAGGCTCACGGCTCTGTTTCTGCTCTCTCCACAGATTCCCTGGATGCCACCAAGGCCAGCAAACTGGTGAGTGACCCCAGCACTTCGTCACCTCTGAGGGGTTTTCATCCCATCCAGACACACAAAATGCCCACGGAAAAGCGAATTTTTCCCAAAACCCATGGGAAACAAGGTGTAAAAAATGTCATTTTCAGCCACTGGACAGGAATCCGTCAGTTCCTGGGGGATTATCCAGCTCCAGTCACCTCCGAGGGGTTTTCATCCCTTCCAGACACACAAAATGCCCACGGAAAAGCGAATTTTTCCCAAAACCCATGGGAAACAAGGTGTAAAAAATGTCATTTTCAGCCACTGGCCAGGAATCAGTCGGTTCCTGAGGGATTATCCAGCTCAAGTCCTGTGTCACACGTTTTGATCTGAGTTCAGCAGCATTCCCAGGCTGCTTTCCTTCAAACCCTGACCCTCAAGGAATCCTGGAAAGGACCTCAAAGCCCCTCAGTTTCCCCCGTGGGCACCTCCCACTATCCCAGGTCACTCCAAGCCCCATCCAGCCCGGCCTTGGGCACTTCCAGGGATGCAGGGGCAGCTCTAAGGACCATCCCCTCTGAGTCCCTTCATCCAGGAGCTCCAGCGGCTCCTGGGACACGGACAGGGACGTGTTGTACCCAGATGTGAGGGATATTTCCAAAGGAATGGGAATCTGTCCTTGGGAATGGCCACACAGGTGTGGGGTAGTGAGGAATCATGGGATGATTCTGGATGAGGCTGGAAAAACTCTGTGGGTCCGGCTGTTCCCCCAGCACTGCCCAGCTCAGCACTGCTGGGGAGCAGGGATGGAGCTGGGGGATCCTGGGGACACGGCAGGGCGGGGTTGTTGTGTGTTTTGGGATAAAAACTGGATTTTCCATGGGGATAAACTGGCCCAGATGGGATGTGGGCAGTGAGGGAAAGGAAATGGTGGGGACAAGGGGCTTCTGTGGGGCTGGCACTTGTGGGGTGGGTTGGGGCACGTTGGAGCCCAGCCTCCTGCGCTGCCATTCTGGATAATTCCCAGGAGTGGGAATTCTGCTCCCCACCCCGCTGTGGAGCTGGGTGTGGGAACAGCAGCTGGGCTCAGATCCTGGGGAATGTGAGCTCCAGTCAGAGGGGAGGATGGAAATGGATTCCCTGCCCTGTGTTGGAGGGATTTGGGAAGGTTTTTGGCTTTTCTTGCTGGGAATTTTGGGTGTGATCCATCAGCCCCTGGCACTGCTGGAGCATGTGCTCCATGTGCTCCCTGCCTGATCCTCCTGCTTTAATTCCACCCTGGAATACATTACAAGACAAAGAGAACATTTAGGAAACCTCAGTGTTCTTGAAATCAGGGAATGGGGATTGTTCTTGGATGCTGCTGATGTGGAGAAGGGATGAGGACAGGAGATGCATCTCCTGGGGCATTCCTGCTGGTTTGTCATGGAATCCTGGAATGGTTTGGGGTGGGAGGGACCTTAAAACCCATCCAGGGACATTTTCCACTATCCCAGGCTGCTCCAAGCCTCATCCAGCCTGGCCTTGGGCACTTCCAGGGATCCAGGGGCAGCCACAGCTTCTCTGGGAATTCCATCCCAGCCCCTCCCCACCCTCACAGGGAGGAATTCCTTCCCAATATCCCGTGGCAGTGGGAAACCATTCTCCCTTGTCCTCAATCCTCTTCCTCCTGGGAGATCCTGCTCCCCCAAATCCCTTTAACCTGTCTTTGCACCACGAAATGATTTATTCCCCCCCTGGACGTATCCCGACTCCCCAAATTCTCCGTGCTGGGCAGGGGGGCAGGAGGAGAATCCAGAGCGAGGGGGTGACTCCAGGGCTGTTTTCTCCTTGATTTACTTCATTTTCCCTGATTTTATTTCCCCTCCTGCTTTTCCTGCAGCTTTGGTGGCGGGGGGGTTGGTTTTCCTGTCTAACATTCCTTCTGTTCCCTCCTCACGCAGCGCGGAGCCAAGCCCAAAAAGGTGCCGTTTGTCCCTTGTCCGCATGCCGGGGCCATCCTCATCCTCACTGTCCCCATCCCGCTCCATCCCGGCGCTGCATGGCCGTCCCCTGCATGTGCTCCCAGCCAGGGAGGGGCAACATCAGCCTGGAATGTTTGGGTGGGAAAAGGAGAGTTCTCCCAGCCAAATTCCCTTGGAAACGGGGACTCTTCCCCTGCTCTGGGCAGCCTCTTCCAGCGTTTTCCAGCTCGTTCCATGAAGGAATTTTCCAGCCTGAATCTCCCCCGAGGCCGTTCCCTCACAGATATTTGTATAAACCCTGGATGGTGACACAGGGGACGAGTGGCACCTTCTCAGGGCTGTCCTGTCCCTGAAACCCGCCTGGTTTGTGACAATTACTGAAGCCAAAAATCTTTTGGGCAAGGATGAAACTCCAAAAGGTCGCAGGAAAGAATCCTGGAACGGTTTGGGTTGGGATGGGCATTAAAGCCCATCTCACTCCACGCCCCTGCCACGGGCAGGGACACCATATCATCGTTCCTTGCAGGAAATTTTGGGAAAATTCTTTTTTCCCTTGGGAATTTTGCCAAGAGAAAAAGCCCAAGGTGGGCGCTGGTGACGTGGGAGAGGGGAGGGAGGTCGTACCTGTGCACCCTTTGGTCCAGATTTGCTTTCCAGACGCTTCCGTGTCGTTTTTTGGGTGGAAAAATGTTCCAGAGAGCTCTGGGAAGTCCATGGGAAATCCAGAGGAGAGGAGCAAGGTGGAATCTGCTGAGAGCCTGTGGAGAGAGGCCGGGAGCACCTGCCCCCGAGTGTCCCCTCCTTGTGTCCCCCCAGATCCAGGTGTCTGCGTGTCCCCGAGGCTGCAGGGTCCGTGTGGATCCCTCATCCCTGTCCTGCCAGCTCCAAGGGGCTCTGATGGGATGAAATTCCTGTCTGGAATGTTGGGTTCTTCCTTCCCTGTCCTTGCTCTGGTGGGTTTGCAGCTGCTCCCTGTCCTCGCTGTCAGCTCGGAGCTGCGGCTGGGATTAGGATCAGGGGGGTGTGACTGTCACTGCCCTGGGGATCATGGATTGGTGACTGTCACTGCCCTGGGGATCTGTGGCTGTCACTGCCCTGGGGATCATGGATTGGTGACTGTCACTGTCCTGGGGATCTGTGACTGTCACTGTCCTGGGGATCATGGATTGGTGACTGTCACTGCCCTGGGGATCATGGATTGGTGACTGTCACTGTCCTGGGGATCGTGGATGCTGTCACTGTCCTGGGGATCTGTGGCTGTCACTGCCCTGGGGATCATGGATTGGTGACTGTCACTGTCGTGAGGATCACGGTCTGTCACTGTCCCGGGGATCTGTGACTGTCACTGCCCTGGGGATCTGAGGCTGTGACTGTCCTGAGGATCATGGATTTGTCACTGTCCTGGGGATCATGGGCGTATGACTGTCACTGTCTTGGGGATGTGGATCTGTCACTGTCCTGGGAATCTGCATCTGTGACTGTCACTGTCCCGAGGATCATGGATTTGTGACTGTCACAGCCCTGGGAATCCTGTCTGTCACTGTCCTGGGGATCGTGGATTTGTGATTGTCACTGTCCTGGCAACTATGGGGGTGTGACAGTCATTGTCCTGAGGATCTGGGATCTGTCACTGTCCTGGGAATCTGCATCTGTGATTGTCACTGTCCTGAGGATCATGGATTTGTCACTGTCCTGGGGATCGTGGATTTGTGACTGTCACTGTCCTGGCAACCATGGGGGTGTGACAATCACTGTCCTGGGGATCTGGATCTGTCACTGTCCTGGGGATCATGGATCTGTCACTGTCCTGGGGATCATGGATCTGTCACTGTCCTGGGGATCATGGATCTGTCACTGTCCTGGGGATCTGGATCTGTCACTGTCCTGACCCTCATCCTGGCCATGTGGGCACACCTCACACAGGGATGTCCCCACTGAGGGACAGCCCCATGCCAGCCCCTGCTGTCCCCTCACAATTTAACCTTTTAATGACCCCCCTGCCCCTCAGGCAGCTCCTGCCTGGCTCAGGGATGTGCCATCCAGGGGGAACCTGGATAATGAGAGTAATTAGCGGGTAAATCCTCGTTCCGGAGATTACAGTGGCTCCTGTGTGTCAAATATAGACTTTAATCGTGTCCAGAGCTGCTGCCAGATGGGCCTTCCCCCCCTGCTGTGCTCCTTCCCTGGTTTCCATGGATTTGGGAGTGCTGTGGCCTTTGTGGCCTTCGGGCTCGGAGCAGGGGCCGCAGGACACGGGCGTCCTGTCCCTTGGCTGTGACACCGTGTCGGGGTGTCCTTGTTCTTGGAGCAGGAGGTGCTGGCCGGGAAGGACCCCAAAATCTGGCTAAAGAGCAGGAAAAGGGAAATCCCAGCTCATTTTTGGGATGAAATGTGTTGTTTTCATGCCCTAACAACGTGTCTGCGGTGGTGACGCTGGGTCACGGGTGTCACCTCCCAGGGACACGGAGCTGGCAGGGCTCCAGCAAAAGCTCTGCCTCGCTCAGGGTGTCGGGGTGGGCTGCTGGGGTCTGAGTCCGACTGTTCCCCCAGGCCACATCCACAGGTGGTGCGTGCTGGCACCGTGACCCTGCTGTTAAACCCTGTCCCGTCACCTCAGGTCACCTGTCCCCTGCGGCCGGATTGATCCCTGGGGTTTTCCCTCGGATGGGTCAGGTTTGACATCCCCGTTCCTTCCCCGGCGCCATTCCATGTGCCAGGGCTGGATTCCCGCGGTGTGTCCTGAGGCTGCTCCTCCCTCTCTGCTGGGCACCGGCTCTGATCCTGTCCCAGGGCGGCCAGTCGGTGTCCGGGTTGTTATCCCGGTGTTGTCCCGGTGTTATCCCGGTGTTCTCCCGGTGTTGTGTTATCCCGGTGTTGTCCCGGTGTTATCCCGGTGTTATCCCGGTCTCCATGCAGGAGCAGTTGGATCAGTGTCCGGGTTGTTCTCCCGGTGTTCTCCAAGTGTTGTCCCAATTTTATCCCGGTGTTATCCCGGTCTCCATGCAGGACCAGCCAGGTCACTGGTGTCCACTGTTATCCCGGTGTTACCTCAGTGTTATCCCAGTGTTATCCCAGTGTTATCCCAGTGTTATCCCAGTGTTGTCCCGGTGTTATCCTGGTGTTATCCCGGTGTTATCCCGGTCTCCATGCAGGAGCAGCCAGGTGAGTGTCCAGGTTGCTATCCCAGTGTTATCCCGGTGTTATCCCGGTGTTGTCCCAGTGTTATCCCGGTCTCCACACAGGAGCAGTTGGATCAGTGTCCGGGTTGTTACCCCGGTGTTATCCCGGTGTGGTCCCGGTGTTATCCTGGTGTTACCCCAGTGTTATCCCTGTCTCCACACAGGAGCAGTTGGATCAGTGTCCAGGTTGTTATCCCGGTGTTGTCCCGATGTTGTCCCGGTGTTGTCCCGGTGTTATCCCGGTGTTACCCTGGTGTTACCCCGGTGTTACCCCGGTGTTGTCCCAGTGTTACCCCGGTGTTATCCCGGTGTTGTCCTGGTGTTGTCCCGGTGTGGTCCCAGTGTTATCCCGGTGTTATCCCGGTGTTATCCCGGTGTTGTTCTGGTGTTACCCTGGTGTTACCCCGGTGTTATCCCGGTGTTATCCCGGTGTTGTTCTGGTGTTACCCTGGTGTTACCCTGGTGTTACCCCGGTGTTACCCCGGTGTTACCCCGGTGTTATCCCGGTGTTGTCCCGGTGTTGTCCTGGTGTTGTCCCGGTGTTACCCCGGTGTTACCCCGGTGTTATCCCGGTGTTATCCCGGTGTTGTCCTGGTGTTGTCCCGGTGTTATCCCGGTGTTACCCTGGTGTTGTCCCGGTGTTATCCCGGTCTCCACGCAGGAGCAGATGGCCCATTCCATCCCGGAGCAGGTCCCAGCTGTTCTGTTGAACGCAGAGGGGCCACCCCAAGCCCCGTTAACCCTTTAAAGGAACGGATAATCCGATGGGCTCCATGATCCCACCTGACCCCGGCTGCCCAAACCGTGCCCCATGGCAGCGCCTGGATGAGCCCAGGGCTGCTTTTCCTGCTGTTCCTCGGGCTGGTGACACCCCTGTGGCAGCTCTTTGTGCCCCTAAGCGAGTCCCTGGTGATTTTTGGGATGGGACCCTCTGGGGCTAGGAGCTGAGCAGCGTCTGCTGCTGCAAATGGATGATCCCATGGAAAAGGAGTTAACCCTGGAATCTCCAATCCCTCCGACAGCCAGGAGTTCTCCCATCTGTGGTGGTGCCACAAGCTCCTTCTCACGGATTTAGGATAAGAAACCTCCCTTAACCCATCCCTGAGGAGTTCCAGGCACAGCCCAAAGCACATTTTCCCGGGGTTAAATTGCATTTTCTCCCTGCTGCTGCATTTATTGGATCTTTGTGTGGGAAGAGTTGATATATTCTGGATTTAGGGAGCGGAGGAGAGGAGCTGGTTCATTAGAGCAGCTCTAATCCCCATAATTATCTTAAAGATAAATCCGTGTGAGCCTTCACGTGGCTCCTCCAGGGATGGACGCGGCACTCGGATCATTCCGGGGCTCACGGATCTGGGATGATTTCATCTGGAAGCGCTTCCTGAGGGGTTCCTTTTCCCACTGCTTTGGGCTGGTGGGAATGGGAGGGAGATTCTGTTGGAGCATTGGAATGATGCCAAAAGCTGGATCCTGGAGAGGCTTCTTCGTTAAAGAGAGGAATTTCAGCTCTCAAAAATGTCCCTTGAGAACGCTCCCCTGCTCCCAGCGCCTGGCAGCAGCCGGAGGGAACCGTGGGAAATGGGATCATGGCATGGGATGGGTTGGGAGAGGGCATAAAGCACATCCATGGACACCTCCCGCTCTCCCAGGTGGATCCAGCCTGGCCTTGGGCATTCCCAGGGATCCAGGGGCAGCCCCAGCAAATCTGGGAATTGCAGCCCAGGCAGGAATTCCTTGCCAAGATCCCAGCCCAATCTCCCCTTTCCCACTGGAAGCCATTCCCTGGCTCCTGGCCCTGCAGCCCTTTCCCAAATTCCGGCT